GTACTTTGGCCACCAGGAGAGCACCCCAAACAAAGGAGGGAAGGGGTTCTTACACTAACACAGTCAGTCCATGAAACCGTGTCCTGTCTCCACTGGCTGGAGTCAGAAGACACAATCTAGGCTGATCCCGATTGGCTATTTCAAAGAGAGCGGAGTTGTGGGTCACAGTGGCTGGCACAGCAGTTTCGGCGGGAGGAGCTCTTTCAGAGTGAGTAACTAAGGGCAGAGGGGACTCTTTCCCAATTAGAAGCAGGTGTGGGTTACAGATTAGGACTTGTGGGAAGGTTGTTTACTGTAACTAGGGGCGAAGAGGAACAAAGAACAAGGAAGTTAGGCTTTGAAAATAGAAAACGAAGAACAGGGAAGTGGAACAAGCTGAACCTTTGAAGAGGAATTTACTCTAACAGCCGAATAGGAGAGACCTTGGCTCAAGGAAACACAACCCCAAGAAGCCTGGATTAAGTGGTCCCTAGGCAACTCATGGCTGTTTGGTTTTATTCATTTCATGGAGACAGGAATTGTAGGAAAATCACGAATCAATGCCTGCAAGGTGTAAGTTACTTACACCAGCCAGAGCAACAGGAGACTTTCAAACAAAAGCAAAAGTACCTTCCCAGCTAAGTGAAGTGACAGGCTCTTGGCCAAGGAGATCTCCACGAAACCCTGAAAATTGAGTTTGTATGACAGGCTTCGAGGTGAGACAGGCCTCCTTATACCCTCTCCCTTTAGGAGTTTAGATGCAGCAACTGATGCATTCATGTAAAGATAAACATCATCAGACTGGAAAAACAGACTCCTTGGAGCAATAAGATGCCAAATTACAAATAAGACCTAAGTCAAGCCTTAGAATTCTTAAAATCTAGAGAAACAGATCTGTTTTTTGGCTGGGATGGAATCATGTGGCAGATAACAGACCCGCTTCACCACTCCTTCCTACTTCCTCCAAATTTTATTGAAAATATATACATTTTGGCCAGGCATGGTGGCTCACACCTGTAATCCAAGCACTTTGGAGGCCAAGGTGGGTGGATCACCTGAGGTCGGGAGTTCAAGACCAGCCTGACCAACATGATGAAAGCCCATCTTTTAAAAAAAAAAAAATATATATATATATATACACATTTATGTGTGTGTGTGTGTATTTACTTTTTTAAAAATAAAAATAAATAGAGACTAGGTCTCACCATGTTGCCCAGGGTGGACATAGCCCAAACTTTTGGGCTCAAGTGATCTACCTGCTTCGGACATTCAAAGTGCTGGGATTAAGGTGTGAGAAACTGTGCCACCCAAATGAAAGAAATTTAGTCGGAGTTCGGGTGCAGTTGCTCACACCCGTAATCCCAGCACTTTGGGAGGATGAGGCAGGCAAATCACCTGAGCTCAGGAGTTCAAGATCAGCCTGGACAACATGGTGAAACCCTGCCTCTACTAAAAATACAAAAAATTAGCCAGGCATGGTAGTCCCATTCCCATAGTCACAGGAAGGTTCTTTCTTAAGGGTTCCACCTGCTGGAAAGGATAATACACTGCCAGCATTTGTTCAATTTCAAGAGTGTCTGGTTTCATCTCCATGTCATCATTACGACTAAAATCCTAAAGGGACTAATTTAGCACAACGTGGTTGCCATAAAGCCCAATTTGTACCCTCAGCAGCAGCTGTAACATCCCAAGTCACAGATCTACCCTCTAAAGGTGTGCCTAAGGCTTGTGCCTGCCATACTAATACATTAACCTGTCCAAAGCTTCCTGCAGAGCTGTGTTTCAGTCCGAATGTGCTCCTTTCTAATAAGTCTATATGTTGTGCTCAGACATTGGGCTAAGTGTCAGATAAATGCTTTCCAATAATCCAAAGACCAATAAATGTCTGGATTTCTTTTTCTTTCTTTCTTTTTTTAAAGACACATAGTATGGCTCTGTTTCCCAGGCTGGAGTGCAGTGGTGGGATCACAGCTCACTGCAGAAACTCCTGGGCTCAAGAGATCCTCCTGCCTCAGCCTCCCAAGTAGCTGGGAATAAAGGTACATGCCACCATGCCTGACTGTTTTTAAATTTTTTGTACAGATGGAGTTTCACTATATTGCCCAGGCTGTTTTTGAACTCCCAGGCTCAAGTGATTCCCCCACGTAAGCCTCTCAAAGTGCTAAGATTATAGTCATGAACTAATGCACCCAGCCCTGAAAAGGATGGGAGCTATCATTTAGGGTCTATGGGATTCTAGGACACTAGGTGTGAAATAAATATGAGGAAGGTCAGAGAGCAAGCTGACATAATGATTCATGCTGAAGGCGCTGCAAGCTTGATTGAAGTTTTGCTCCTCCATTCCTCTGTGATGAATGTGATAAAGTTTAAAGGGATGGTTTTACCAGGGGCCTTTTCCATTGACTGCAAGGAGGTCATCCCTCTTGGTAAATCCTCAGTAGGACAAGCCTGTTAATGTGGTTAGAATGATCCAGTCCATAAATAAATATCACCACCCTCTGTGTTTCACAATTAGACCATCCAAGGGGGTCAGGGTTTCCCCAGGTAGTTTGGTGGGATTTTTATGTTTTTTTGAGACAGTGTCTTGCTGAAGTACAGTAGCCTGATCATAGCTCACAGCAACTTGAAACTTTGGGACTCAAGTAATCCCCCCACCTCAGCCTCCTGAGTAGCTGAGATTATAGGTACACACCACCTCTCTCCTGGCTAATTAAAAAAAATAGAGAGAGAGAGATGGGAGGGTCTCACTTCACTGCTCAGGGTGGTCTCCAACTTCTGGCTTCAAGTGATCATCCAACTTTGGCCTCCCAAAATGTTGGAATTACAGGCATGAGCCATGGCGTGGCACCCGGCCTCCCAGGCTGTTGTTGAAAGGTCTTTGCAATCTCTAAGAGTTCTGCAGCAGTCTTCCCTGACAGCGAGAGTCTCATCCTTTGAAACCATTTTGCCGCAGTAGTAGAGCATTCACTTTTCTTTCCACAAGGGGGCGAGCTTACCAGTGATCCTCATCCCCCTCCTCATCGATGACTTCTTTGTCATCAAAGCCTTTCTCTTAATAAATTCTCATAGAATCCAAGTTTTCACCTCCCAATTGGGCTTAGTTATGATACTTATAGCCACTGGCCCACACCAGCTGCTACAGCACCCCCTCCCCATGGAAGCTACCGGACTCTACTCTCTCCTCCCCAAGTGTCCTGTCCTGGGAGCCCCCATCTCTGCTCTCCAGGGCTCCGGGCTTTAGAGCCACGCTGCTGTAGAGCCCAGTTCCCAGGGCTGCTCCCTCCACCTATCCACTTCCAGCTCCAGCTCTCCACCTTTTCTCGGACCAGCCAGGAGTAGAGGTGCTGCAGCGTCTCTGATCGCAGGTCCCTGAACTGCCACCTCCACCACGATCTAGAATTCTTTTTTTTTTTTTTTTTTTTTTTTTTTTTTGAGACGGAGTTTCGCTCTTGTTACCCAGGCTGGAGTGCAATGGCGTGATCTCGGCTCACCGCAACCTCCGCCTCCTGGGTTCAGGCAATTCTCCTGCCTCAGCCTCCGGAGTAGCTGGGATTACAGCCACGCGCCACCATGCCCAGCTAATTTTTTGCACCTTTAGTAGAGACGGGGTTTCACCATGTTGACCAGGATGGTCTCGATCTCTTGACCTCGTGATCCACCCGCCTCGGCCTCCCAAAGTGCTGGGATTATAGGCTTGAGCCACCGCGCCCGGCTTTTTTTTCTTTTTTTTTTTTTTTTTTTTGAGATGGAGTTTCGCTCTTGTTAACCCAGGCTGGAGTGCAATGGCACGATCTCGGCTCACCGCAACCTCCGCCTCCTGGGTTCAGGCAATTCTCCTGCCTCAGCCTCCTGAGTAGCTGGGATTACAGGCACACACCACCATGCCCAGCTAATTTTTTGTATTTTTAGTAGAGACGGGGTTTCACCATGTTGACCAGGCTGGTCTCGATCTCTTGACCTCGTGATCCACCCGCCTCGGCCTCCCAAAGTGCTGGGATTACAGGCTTGAGCCACCGCGCCCGGCTACGATCTAGAATTCTTTTAAATGCACTTAAGTTATCTTAGAATTTTCCTCCTCCATTTTATACGTAAACATAGGAGGAGAGCAGGGACTCTGCTGGTGTCTTATTCACACAATGGGTTTGAGGGTGTTTGTCTCATGGAACTGATTGAAGTGGTGAGAAGTAAGGGGGACTTCGCGGATAGCCCGCCCTCCCCTACGGTTGACCTCCAGATGCTCAGAGCAGCTCCAGGAGTGTGGATTCCGAGAAGCTGCAGAGCCCTGGAAAGCAGAAGACCACGTGCAGATGCATTTGTGGGGTTCTGTCCTTTCGAGTGCTGTACCTCTGGAGCCTGGAGCTGTGTTTTGGGCAGTGTATGGGATTTGACATCAATGGGGACGCTGGGATCAGAGTTCTTTGTATATATAAAGAAAATACATGAAGATCAAGCTAGAGACAGGTTTGGGGGCATCACCTGGACAAAGGGTTTATGAAGTTGACAATTTATTTAGGTCAGAAGCTTAAATAATCCTAGGTGAGAGTTTCTTGCTGGTGAAAATAAAGATATAGAAGGAGGGAGCATTTTTACACTGTGAGGTGGGGATGGGGGTGTGTGAGCAAGGCTTGGCCATGCCTCATCCCCAGTTCGGGCCCGCTCCAGGACATATGCCTCTTCTCCTGGTACAGTCGTACCTGGCCTAGTCTCGGTTCCCCTGCTGCTCGGAGGCCAGCAGATGGCTCCTATGGACACTGAGTCTGAAATTCCCTACACACTCCTGTGACCCTCCCCCTCCCCGTGCAGAATGAAGGAGCAGGGATAATCCCTTGAGTGAGGAAGACGCTAGTGTTCTCTTCTATCCATAGCAAGTTGGGCTGAAATGCAAATATCCAATAACGAGGGTGCAGGAAGCAGCTCGCCCTTAGAAAACCTGTGGCTACAATCTGGCTCTGCAGGGCCTGATACCCAAGGCTTCAGCGGCGACTCAGACGTGGGGGGCGGGGCTAGCATTCCATCCAATCAGGGGCGCTAGGGCGGGGTCCGCCCATTGTTCATCCGGGTACGGAGCGCATTCCTTCCCTCACTTCTTCGTTGTGCGGGCGGCCGTTAGGATCCAGTCTTTCCAACTCCGAGAGAGACCTGGTGCCTCTACCCAGGCTTCTGTTGCTCTGTCACCTGCGCCGTGCCCTGCTGTAGTCTCAGAAGCTGTAGAGAGGACTCTGGGACATCAGAAAACTGGGAAATGGTGCGTGTGCAGGACAGGGGGTCCCGAGATGGGGGAGGGGCTGCCTGAAACCGTCCGGAACCGACGGTGGCGGGACCCGGGCTTCCCTGCGGGCGACTCTAGGGTCTAGGACCGAGTCCTCCTGGAGCAGCTCGGGCCTCTGTCCCCTTGGCCGCTGGGCGGGGCTGGGCCGGCAGCCAAGATCGCGGGCGTCCTGTCCCGTCCATGGGCGGCGCCTGCAGCCTCGGCCCTGGAGCCCTCTCTGGGCAGTTCCGTGCCGCAACCCCGCGTCTCCCCAGATTAGGCGGGGGCCACGGTAGGGTCATGGGGGAATCACGACTCCGGCGCGGGGGTTCGTGTGGGAGGAGCAGCGGTCTGTGGGGTCCCCAGTTCCGCCTTTCTCCTGTTAAAAATTAACTTGAGTCACGTTAGCCAAGAGTTCATTTGAGGAAACAGTGATTCATGAATGAGAAATACCCAGTCCTACTTTGTGGTTTGTCAATGGAAAAAGCCAGTCTGTGAAATAACTTAAAAGTTTATTCAGAGACGAATGTGAAGAGACCGAGGCCAAGGAAAACACAATCCCACGAGGCCTCGATTAAGGGGTCCCGAGGTGGCTAATGACATTTTGGTTTTATTCATTTCAAGGAGACAGGAATTGTAGGAAAATCATGAATCCGTGCCTGGAGGTGTATAAGTTCCTTTGGTCAAAAGGCGGGAGCTGTGGAAGCGGGGTTAGAAGGCACAAGAGGTTTAGGGATTCTGTATGTGGCAGTTCGTTGAGAGTGTGAAGTTTTGTCAAAAGTTCGGAGGAGATAGGAATGAATGGTGAGGGAAGGGAGTCTGTTATCTGCCACGCGATTACATTCCAGCCAAAAAACAGACCTGTTTCTCTGGATTTTATGAATTCTAAAGCTTGACTTAACCTTCCCTTCTATGGCCTTAGGTCTTGTTTGTAATTTGGTATCTTATTGCTCTGTTTTCCCCAGTCTGATGTCTATCTTTGCATGAATGCGTCAGTTGCTGCATCTAAACTCCTAAAGGGAGAGGGCAAAAGGAGGCCTGTCTCAACTCCCAGCCTGTCATAGAGAGGAACTCAATTTTCAGGGTGTTTTCGGGGTCGTCTTTCCCAAAAACCGGTCTCGTCACTTAGCTGGGACGGTACTTTTGCTTGTTTTTGTTTGAGACAGAGTCTCCTGTCGCCCAGGCTGGAGTGCAAGGGTTCAATGTTAGAAATAAAGCTTGGAGATGTATGGAAAAACGAGTGCTTAGATAAAGGATTTTTTTAGCAAAGTAAATTTACTTCTGTAGAAGGGTGTGTTTCGTGTATGGAGTAATGGTGAGAGCATATAGAATAAAGGAAAATAGGATGTTTTATTTTATTTTATTTTTTAATTTTTTTTTTTTTTTTTTTTTTTTTTTTTGAGACGGAGTTTAGCTCTTGTTACCCAGGCTGGAGTGCAATGGCACGATCTCGGATCACCGCAACCTCCGCCTCCTGGGTTCAAGCAATTCTCCTGCCTCAGCCTTCTGAGTAGCTGGAATTACAGGCACGCGCCACCATGCCCAGCTAATTTTTTGTAGTTTTTTAGTAGAGACGGGGTTTCACCATGTTGACCAGGATGGTCTTGATCTCTCGACCTCGTGATCCACCCGCCTCGGCCTCCCAAAGTGCTGGGATTACAGGCTTGAGCCACCGCGCCCGGCCTTATTTTTTAATTTTTGAGATAGAGACTCGCTCTGTAGCCCAGACTGGAGTGCTGGGGTGCGATACCAGCTCACTGCAATCCCGGCCCCCCAACCCTCAGATTCAAGCGATTCTCCTGCCTCAGCCTCCTGAGTAGCTGGGATTACAGGCAGGTGCGACCATGCCCGGCTAATTTTTGTTTGTTTGTTTGTTTTGTTTTTTGTTTTTTGAGACGGAGTTTCGCTCTTGTTACCCAGGCTGGAGTGCAATGGCGCGATCTCGGCTCACCGCAACCTCCGCCTCCTGGGTTCAGGCAATTCTCCTGCCTCAGCCTCCTGAGTAGCTGGGATTACAGGCACGCGCCACCATGCCCAGCTAATTTTTTGTATTTTTAGTAGAGACAGGGTTTCAGCATGTTGACCAGGATGGTCTTGATCTCTTGACCTCGTGATCCACCCGCCTCAGCCTCCCAAAGTGCTGGGATTACAGGCTTGAGCCACCGCGCTCGGCTTAATTTTTTTTATTTTTGGTAGAACTGGAGTTTCACCGTTTTAGTCAGGCTGGTTTCAAACTCCTGACCTCATGATCTCACCTCGGCCTTCCAAAGCGCTGGGATTACAGGCGTGAGCCATGGCACCCTACCCGGTTTTTATTATTATTATTATTATTATTTTATTTTATTTTATTTTTTTGAGACGGAGTTTCGCTCTTGTTACCCAGGCTGGAGTACAATGGCGCGATCTCGGCTCACCGCAACCTCCGCCTCCTGGGTTCAGGCAATTCTCCTGCTTCAGCCTCCTGAGTAGCTGGGATTACAGCCACGCGCCACCATGCACAGCTAATTTTTTGTATTTTTAGTAGAGACGGGGTTTCACCATGTTGACCAGGATGGTCTCGATCTCTCGACCTCGTGATCCACCCGCCTCGGCCTCCCAAAGTGCTGGGATTACAGGCGTGAGCCACCGCGCCCGGCTGGTTTTTATTATTTTTAATGTAGCTTTTGTTTTTGTGTGTGTGTGTCTGTTTTTTTAATTGGTTAGGGTTGAATTGTATAATTTAAAGTAGACCTGGTTGGCTAAATATTTAAACTTTTTAAGATAAGGTGGATGCATGATGGGAGAGAAGGGAGAGAAGGAAGAGATTGTTTGTGTCAGATTAGAGAGCTAGTCCTTTCCTAAATAAGTAAAGGAATGTGAGCTGGTGCTGTGGCATGCTTGGGCATGTAGCAAAATAAGAAGGAAGAAAAGGAGATGAAAGAAAGTGGAGGGTACTTGGAATTAAGCGATAAAAGGTTGAACAGGCTGTTTGAAGAGAAACTTTGTTATACTTTTATTTTTTATAATTTTTTAAACTTTTTAAGTATATTTTGACTGTGGTGTTTGGCTTGATTTTTTTAGAAGAAAAAGTTTATTTGCATAGGGTGGGGGAGAGTTGAGGAAAGTTTTGATGAGAATTGTTTTAATAAGTTTTTCTATTATTCCCTTTTTTTTTTTTTTTTTTTGAGACGGAGTTTCACTCTTGTCGCCCAGGCTAGAGTGTAGTTATTTATTTATTTATTTATTTATTATTTTATAGTTGTTTCAATGTGGATTGAAACCTTGTAGCTATTTGGTTTTGGGCTTTGAATTTATTTGTCACTCCTTGTGGAACTTTAATGGTATTTATATAAACTTCAGGATTAGAGGACTTATTAGTGGCGTTTTTTTGAGGGGGGTGGTTGTTGAAATGTTAAGGTGAAAGGGATGGCTAATTGGACTAGAACACAAGTTTTGCTCTAGTTACTTTGTAGTGTTTAGTAAAAGTCTGCTGCAATACTGTTATATATTTGTTTGGGGATGACTAAGGGCAGATTGCAGGGTAAGCTTTTGGAAAGGGTAAGCTTTTGGTGGGGGTAGAGAGAGAGAGCTTGAGTGCTTGTGAGTGCACTTGGCATGACGACTTATTCTAAGCTGTGGGATTTTGGAAAAGAGTCATTATATAGATTATATAGCTTATATAATATGATTATATAATATATAATCTATAGGCTATATAATATTACATAATTATATATTGTAAAGCTATATAATATAATAATATTATATAATATAATTATATAAGATATATAATTGGATAATTTATGACCTGTCACCAGAGGGACCATTTAAGTGGAAAGGAGACAGTCTGGGCCTCTGGCCTACTGTGCACATAAGTGCAACAGTTTCTTTTGTTTAACGTGTGGATGGAATATTTAATTTATTTTAGCCAGGTCTTTGTATTTTGGTATTTTGTTTTAATTGTTAAGGTTTATTTTAGGTTATTTACTTTGATAACAGACACTTTTTTAGGTTCAGGAATAACAGGTGTTTGGTTTAAAGCTGAAACTTGGAGAAGGAGGAGGAATAATATGTATTTTAAAAATACTTGCCGGGCGCGGTGGCTCAAGCCTGTAATCCCAGCACTTTGGGAGGCCGAGGCGGGTGGATCACGAGGTCGAGAGATCGAGACCATCCTGGTCAACATGGTGAAACCCCGTCTCTACTAAAAGTGCAAAAAATTAGCAGGGCATGGTGGCACGTGCCTGTAATCCCAGCTACGCAGGAAGCTGAGGCAGGAGAATTGCCTGAGCCCAGGAGGCGGAGGTTGCGGTGAGCCGAGATCGTGCCATTGCACTCCAGCCTGGGTAACAAGGGCGAAACTCCATCTCAAAAAAAAAAAAAAAAAAAAAATACTTATAGGATTTTTCCCATTGACATTGGGCCAGGCTTAGGGTCAGTGGAGGTAGAAGTGGTCATAGAAATTAGGATACGGTGGTATTGGTGAGATTGGTAATTAGGGGGAGTAGTTTTGTTTTTGTTTGTTTGTTTTGTTTTTTGTAAAATGGAAGAGGGGTTTTAAATTGACATAAACTCTGTTTGTAGAGGTTTAATTTTGGTATTGGGTGGTTTAAAGGAAATAGCCCCAGTTACTACAAGGTTGTTAGCCTGTGGGAGTAAAGGAATGCGTTTTGACTGTAGGTGATTTTAACGGTGAGAACTAGGGGTAACTGTGGAGATTAGAGGGCCAGAACAGAGATACAGGACAGAGAAGCTGGTTGTTTGTGGTCCTTCAAATTTCCCCAAGGTATAAGAAGACAAGCATTAAAAATAATGGTTTGGGGCGAATCAGACCTAGTTATATAATAACGAAGTAGCTAGCAACAGAGTGAGGAAAGAGGGAGAAACAATATAAACGTTATAGAAGAGTTAAGCTTTTTTTAACTTTAATTTTGTAGGGCTTTATCTTGAACTAATGGGCCATGATTTTGAAGGTGGTAGTGGTCCTTGGGCTTGGGTGTGGACTTATTTTCTTTGTG